CATGTGGTGCTGAGAAACAAACCCTAGTTCCTGCTCTTACCTAATCAGATGCTTAGTCGGTTAAGCTATCTCTCCAGCCCTTATAACATTTTTTAAAACCAATTTTGCATGCTTATATCCGGTAATCTGAACAACTAATTTGAAGACAACAGTATGCAATGTTAATGACCATTATTGAATTCCTATCTTCTTTAGTGACATTCTGTATCATTTTTAATGTTTTTTTTAAAACTTTTTTATTCTCTTTGAAATCAAAGAAACAGTGGCATACCTTTGCCACCAGCAGCTCTCTGGGCCAACTGTAAACAGAATCCAGCTGGTTCCTCCCCACTTCCATCCATCCGCCATCCCTCTCCACATTGAAGCTTTGTGTCTTCTCACTGCCCTTTAGCCATCGCATCCTCCCCAACTTCCTGTAAGAGACAGTCCATCAGGCCTACAGAATCCCACATCTCTGCCCCCTCAGAACACCAGAAAACCATCCTACCTGTTCTCTGAGCTTGAGTCCAATGTGTAGACCCTGCATGGCAGCACGGTTTTGGGTCTGTTCTTACTCAAGTGTGAGAGATGCATGGACAGATAGGCTGAGAGAAGACAGGCTTGGTTATCAGCTTGCCTGCGTTCATTCCCACCCTGTATTGCAGCCTTCTCTGCCTACCATGTTTCACCCTTATCCCTAAGTTTTCACTTGCCTGGTCCTGTGCACAGCACCCTCCCATTCCACCCCCGCCACCTTCTTTCTTTTTCGGTTGTGCTGGAGATCAAACCCAGGGCCTCATGCTCACTAGGCAAGCACTCTATCTCAACTATATCTCCAGCCCTTGTGGGTTTTTTGTTTTCTATGTTGTCACACTTGTTGAGAAGACAAGAGGGCTGCTCTTCCTCTAATGCCCTTCAGGCTTTCCCTGAGTTTGTTTTGAGGAACAGAAATTGGGTCATACTGGAGTACCCTTGACCTGGTCTTGCTTTCCTACTCCCCCGTACCCTGTCAAAGAGTCTAAAAATATTCTCTTTCCACTGAAGACTCTTTTTTCCACTGAAGAAAGTGAGCCATTCAGGGTAGGACAGGAATGGGGGCCGGAGGGCCAAGAGGCCTGGGAGTTATATTCTGCAGAGATGTCAGAGACCTGGTGGCTGCCTCAAAAATTCTACAGGAAGTATGACCAAAGGATTTCTATCAGTGAAGGCTCATGACCTTCTGAGGGAACATGCAACCACTTGGGGGCCCTGTCACTGAGAAGACGAAGTCCTGGCTAGTACAGAAGTTGGGTAGGACAGAGCCCCCTTTTGTTCACAGTCATCTCAGAACTCTTAGTTTAAATCACAGTTGTCTGTTGGTCTGAAGATTGGTGACTCAAAACCTTGTCAAAACCCTGAGGAGTCCAGCATGCTGTGCCAACCCTGCCCCTGGGGTGTGCTGAGACTGGCGATTGAGACTGGGTGTGGTGGTGCATGCCTGTAATCCCAGTGATTAGGAGGCTGAAAAGAGGAGAATCACTATGAGTCCGATTGATGTAGTGAGACCCTGTAGACTCTGTACTAAATGCATAAAAAACAAAACAAACAAACAAAAGAAAAAACTGAGGGTTGCAATAGTAAGATGTGGTCCACAATGTTGTCTCAAGTCTGGTATGTAATTTTGACAATGAAGGAAATAGTAGGGCAAACAGCTCTCTTTCTCTCTTCTGTTCCCCTGATTAGGTCTGCCTGTTGGTCTTTCAGCCTCTCGCTACTATGGCTGCAGGCAGGAAAAGAGGAAATGATATAAAGAGGCTTTCAGTGAGGTGGCTACTCAGTCATCAACTGGCCAACTCCTGTGACAGGAAGCCCTCAAACAGTGTGCTGCCACTACTGTGAGGCTTGGCTTTCTGATAAGGCCATCTTCTAGGAGACAGCTGCCTCTTACCCTCTCTGCCACACTTGGGCTTCAGGTTAGGGACACAGGGCAGACCATAACCTCCACCCAGACATGACCTGGATCCCTAGGGAGGGTGCTGCACTGGCTTAGCCTTCCAGAAGGACCCCCTGCCTTATCACTATCATGTCAGTCTGCTGACAGCCTAACTGACCATCTTTCTCTGTTCTCATTTTCTATAAGAAAATGAGGATGCTTAGTAACCATGAGAATTGAATTCAATTTAACCTGACAAATGTTGACTGGCTATTTTCTCTGTGCAAGGACAAGGCATTCTCGGTGCACCTTCAAAGGTGGCTGACCTAGTAGGTAGGGGGAGGGAAGAGCACAGTTATCTAGGCATGTTCCAAAAAGATGCTGAGGACATGTGGCCTCTCTGGATTTTTCCTTTCTCTGCATTTTCCCATGTGACTGTTCCTTTAAAGCCCCTCCGCCCCCATTTGTTCCTCTGTTGGCATAGAATCTTGTTCAGTGGAGATTGCTGTCATGAACATATGCTCTGTTAGGAGCCGTCTCATCCAGGCTGCACAGGGGGCCCAGACAAGGTCTGGGATTGTGGCAGGTGGGGACAGAGTAAACTAGCCAAGACTGCTTAGCTGCATTAACAGGTGCCAACTCTGCCTGCCTAGGCAAAGGAAAGAGTCCTGACAAGGGTAGGCCCTCCCAGAAGCCCTTAGTACCCGGGCCAGGGATGGGATTGGAATAGAAAAGGACAGAAGGGACAAAGAAAGCCTTCCAAATCACCTCTTTATATGTCTGTACCCTCAACACGCTACTTGCTCCTTTTCCAGAACCTCTGCTCCTGGCCCTGAGCTGGCATGAGGCTGTTCAAGGTTTACATTTATAGATCACAGTTTCCTTACACAAAGAGAAGGACCCAACTCTCTCTGAGGCCCGGGTCTGAGCTCCTCATAGGAGGGGAATCTGATTGGCCCAACCTGGGATATATGGTTCCTTTCTAGTTCCCTAATGCAGCTATACCATGGAAGGTGGGCCCCGAAAGTGCCCACTGACTAGAAAGGATAGTTGGTTCTTTAATTTTTCTTCTTGTTACCGCCAGTTTGGGTTGGATAGGGATCAGGGGGAGTTAAAAGGAGTCCCTGGAGCTGCTTGTATTCCCATGGAACAGGAGCATGGAGTAGTAGCAGGCAGGCTTGTCTCCCCCAGTAGGTTGTAAATACAGGCTTTGAAAGTTTAGTTTTTAAGTGTTTGGTTGGTTGGTTGTTTTGTGTGATGCTGAGATGGAAATCAAGAACTGTACCTGAGGGCCAGGGAGATAGCTCAGAGGCTTAAGCACCTGCATGGCAAGTGCAAGATCCTGAGTTTGATCCCCAGTACCAAAAGAAAAAAAAAATTGTACATGCTGGACAAGTGGTCCACCACTGAGCTACACCCCTAGCATGGAGATGCTCAATTTTACACCTAAACTAGAACACTAGAACATTTTACAGGTAAAATCATAGGACTTAGCTGGATTTTGAGTGGGGCAGAAGACAGTGGAAGAGCTCATTGGAGGCCAAGCTCTGGGGAGCTGAAGGTGGGTAGACCAGTCTGAGGCAGCAGGACTCTCCAGCTAGTCCTTCTGGGCAAGCTCTGTAGTCACCTTCTGCCTTCCTCAGAAGCCAGAAGAAAGTGTTGGCCAAGACAGGGTGTTTTGATGGTATGGTGACTTTAAGTTTCTACATATGTAAATTGCATAAGTGCCTCAATGAAAGTCAGGCTGAGCCGAAGCTATGCTTCTTGCTAATGACAAGCTGGCTAGGCATACTCAGACTGCTTAGCTGCATTAACAGGTGCCAACTCTGCCTGCCTAGGCAAAGGAAAGAGTCCTGACAAGGGTAGGCCCTCCCAGTATTGTATATACTGTTTGTAGGAAGTAATGTCTGTTAAAAAAAAAAAAAAAAGGAAGTAATGTCTGTCTGTTACAAGTAAGGAGGCTTTTTGGAAACTGACCTCTTAACTTTGAGAGGGTCTGTTGGTTAGAGTTTTTGTGGCTGCCTCAGAGGTTGGCTGGAATACATTGCTGTAGGCAGGAAAAGCTGACAGAATTATCAATGATACCAGGTGCACAAGAGGTGCCACCTCCTCCTCTGGGTACATATTTATGGTGGAGGACAGCATTGGAGGAAACCCTGTTTCTGAGGAGCCCTTGGAATAACTCCTGGTTTTGAATCTTTCCTTACTGATTGGTTTAGTTTTTATTTTTGCTGTGCTCAGGATGGAACCCAGTACCTTCCAAATACTTCCAAAAGTGCTCTACCACTGAGCTACTCACCAGCCTCAGGCCTTTTTTTAATTACTAAAAATTCCATAAATCAACAGAAGTGATAATCTATTCATATTTCTGTTCTTTCATCTCTTTGTAGTTTTCATTTAAGGGAGACTAGTGATTGTGCTTTTCATAGGTGTTCTATTTTGGCAAACATGTTGACATCATGCGTGGCACACTGTCATAGAAGAAACATGGGGCTGGGGCAGTACTCCTAGGAGTGAGCTCCACCACTGGCCTTGGCCTGCCTCCTGGAGGGCTACTGCACCCCTGAGTGGAAGCTATCCTATCTGCCAGTGATAGGCTGGGCTAGACAAGCTCAGCTTCAGTAGTCCCTACTCTGTTGAAGAAACATGAGTTAGCTTTGATTTCCCATCATACATCAATTTCTCCTTTCCTTTCTGCTCAATCTGCTTGTGGCTCCTGTCTCCACTGATGAAGGTGCATATCCTACAGGGAGCCTTCCACTCCCTTCAGCTAACAGCCCCAGCAACTGATTTCCTTATGATTAGAAAGGTACCTACATCTTAGGATGCGCCACAGTGCCTAGGTGTTATTTCTCTGCCTCTTCTCCAAGAAAATACATGCTGAATTAAGTTTTGTGTTTTGTTCATGCTCAGCAGAACCACTGAAACCAGGATTTCACCAGCCGTGCTGGGCCAGTGATTGCAGGAGAGGAGGAGAATAGGTTTCTCCAGTGTGCTTCACGCTGGAGTACAGGAGAGCATTGGCCTCAAAAGGACCTGGGGTGCCTTGCTGCCTCAGAGCAGCCTAGGTAAGAGCTGCTTCTTCACGGGTCTTTCTCTCTCCTCCCAGGCGTGGGCAGATGCGTTTCGGAGCAGTCCTGACCTCACTGGTGTGGTGCACATATACGAGGAGCTGAAGAGGAAGGGGGTTGAGTTTCCCATGGCAGACTTGGATGCTCTGTCTCCCATCCACACTCCCCAGCGGGTAAGCTTCCAGCTGGCAGTTTCTAGAAAAACCGACTGCAAAACGAGTGAGCCAAGCTGCTGCTACCACCCTTCTGCTGCTACCTTTGAATTATTCAGCTTGTCATCATGCTTTCTTAAAGCTCCAGGGCATTTCTTTTTAATAACAAGGGGAGTTCAGGAGTAAGACAGCTGGTTGACTGGTGATTAAGTGGCAGGGGTGTCTCCCCCCTGGTTTTCACACTGACTGTGGAGGAATATAATTGAGGGATCAGTTCAGGGTTTTCATGGAAATTGCTGCTTGGGTGGAGCCTTCATGCGAGGGTCATTAGCACCTGCTTTGGAGAGGCCTATAGAATATGATGCGGGGAATCTGTCCTCTTTCCCCTTGAGTGCCCTGAGCACCTCCGAGCAGTGTACAGGAGTAGCTTTACTCATCATGGGCAAAAAGCAGCTTTTGACTATGTAAGTCAAATGAATTTTTAGAAATATGGTTCTAGAGATTCAACCCAGGGTCTCATGCATGCTAAGCATATGCTACTGAGCTGCAACACTAGCTTAGTCAAATAGATCTTAAATATATTTTGAGCTATGAACATTCCCCATTAGTCTGAGCATCTTTATATTCTTTGTATTCAGCCTTGGGATGCAAATCCCAGGAAAGACACATATATGGGCGTCCCACTGAAGCTCTTACAATACTATCAGTGTAGTGGGCAGCTCTGCACTTCAGAATTAAGAGAATGAAGGTAACCAAGCATGGTGGCACATGCCTGTAATCCCAGCTATTCTACTGACTAAGGCAGCATGATCAAGGCATGCTAAGGATGTAGCTTAGTGCAAAGCCCTGAGTTGAATCACCAGTACTGAAATAAAAAAGAAAAAAAGTACTTAGACATTGACATTCATGATTTTCAGGAAAGTTAGTTCATCTCTTGGCTGGGCTAGGAAGCAGCTCCTGGTCCTGGGGGAGAGCTGGGACAGCTCCAGGATCTGGACACTGCAGTCCAGCCTTTCCCATCTGCCCGTCTCTGAAATGGTGCTTCCAGGAGGTCAATGTACTGTGCTATCTCTTGTAAACACATGCACAAATGTTCACGAGGTTATCTGAGATGCCCAAGGGAAAGCACAAGGACTTATACTTTCCAAAGCATTATTCACATGATGATTCTCCAAACCACTTACTAGGCTTGGTGGAATAAGCGTAACCTACTTTATTCTTCTAATAATGACATGGAGCAATGTTGTTGTTCCTATAATTATAAAGAACATTCAGTAAATTGCATAATTGCTATTTATATTAGTCTACTTGTAAAGGCCAAAATGTAATCTTATGGTACCAAATAAGGATTCATGATTAGCAAAGCTTATTACATCCCTCCCTCCTCTTGGATGGTCTTCATAATGGAACCATGATCAGAATGGCCTTTTTTGGGGCCGGGGAGATGGCTTAGTAGGAAAAGCGCTTGACTGACAAATGCAAGGATCTGAGTTCAATCCCCAGTTCCGCCAAAAAAAAAAAAAAAAAAAAAAGGCCTTTTTTGAGTTATGTTGGTTGAAGAATCCTTAAGAGATGAGTGGATGGAGGAACCACTGGTAGCTCCACTGCCTAGATGGAGATGCTGGCTGAGCCAAGAGGGGTTCCATGAACTCTGAGGGAAGGTACCACCTAGTTTGGTGATGGTATTGGACCAGGTCACATGGCAACCCGAGTGAGCTGAGAACTTTATCGTTGTCCTGCCAGAGTGTCCCGGAAGTGGATCCAGCCACAACCATGCCCAGGTCCCAGTCACAACAGAGGACAACTTCTGGCTCCTACTCTGCACCTCCTGCTTCCTACCCTGCTCCTCAAGCCCCAGCTCTGAGTGTGACTGGCCCCATCACAGCCAACTCAGAACAGGTACTTGCATGCTTCCAGGCCACAGGAAAAACAGATGGCCACCTTCTTTCACCTTTCTGGGAGACACATACAGAAGTTTCTTCAGACCAAGCACTGTCTGGCTGTAGTAACATAAAGAGGGGAGGGCCCATTTCCTGAGAGAGCCCAATGCAAGACTGTCATGATAGAGTGTAGTCATGCCATAATGGGAAGTAGAGCCGAGTTCTCTGTGAGCCAAGGTTGAGCAGTGCCTGGCAGGCAGCCCAGAGCTGAGTACTGAGGATTCTGAAGCCAGCGTGGGTCTGTCAATGAGGTCCTGTGTAAGCAGTGGCCTGGTGCATACAGAGCACAGAGGAACAGGGAAAGGCAGGTGGCCCAACTGCAGGTGCATGTATAGGGTCTGGGTAGGGGAGGAAATAGTGTCAGAAAGTGAGGCTAACAGCATAGGAATGCAATTGAGTTGTGAACAGGCTTGTCTATCACATTGAGCGTTTCGCATCAATCCTATAAGAAAAATTAGCCATCAGAGACCAGTGGCCCCATCAGCAAGGTGACTGTGAGGGCAGAGGCTGCAATCAGGAAGGCGTTCTGAAAGTACTCTTCCTGTCCTATCCCAAACACTGCCCCCCTTCTACAGGTCACTTCCTGATAAACTCATGCCATATTACCCCAAACTAGATATTTTTAGATGAATTATGGAGCCTGGCATTAGATCAACCTGAAGAATTTCCATTAAATTTCAGAACTGGTCAGACTTGGAAAATAAATCTATCCAGTGTTTGTATTTCAAAACACTTATTTTCAGGCTGGGGAGATAACTCAGTAGTCTAAGTACCTGCCTGGCAAGCACAAGGACTCAAGTTTGACCCCTGATATTGCATGCCATACTGGCCCTAGAACCCAGGGTTGTCATGCTGGTCACTGAAACTGGGTATGGTGGCACACGTCTGTAATCTCAGTGCTGGAGAGGCTGAGAAAGGAGGATCACTGTGAGTCTGAGCTGTGTAGCAAGACCCTGTTCCAAATAACCAGATTATTTTTTTTTAATTTAAAAACACTTATTTCCTATTTGTGACAATGTCTTTATTATGAAACCACACTGAAACAGAGGGATCAGTCAGTTGTTTGTAGGTGACAAGTGTTATTCTAAGACCATATCATTGTCACTTCTCTGCCAGTGCTGGGGAGGGATGTGACCAAGAAGCTAGATAGGAATTAGGCTGGTAGGCTTGAGCTACTCACAGTGAGCCTTTAGGAAGAAGCTCATGTCAGTCTCCTGTCCATCAGAATAGAGCTAATCCTTCCTGCCTACCCTGCAGGGCAGATGGTGCTGCTCCTGCACTCTTCATTGCAAATTACTCTGTACTTGGTGTCATGAAGGCTCCACAGATGACCTCACTTTCCCATTCAGTTCTCTTCAGCTGAGGTCCCCTCACAGGCAGACCAGAAGGAGATGGGAAAGCTGTTCCTGCAGAGTGCATGCAGAAGATGACAAGGTGTCACACTGGATAGGACTTCCCCTGCCTATAGTGTGGCTCATTTTGATCTCTCAGGCACAGCTGGCTGACATCTCCTTCCTGCTTTCCTCCCTGTGACCCAAAGATTGCCAGGCTGCGGAGCGAGCTGGATGTGGTTCGGGGAAATACAAAAGTCATGTCTGAGATGTTAACAGAGATGGTTCCTGGGCAGGAGGATTCATCTGATCTGGAACTGCTGCAGGTGAGGAGGACCTCATCTGTGGGAGGGCTTCTGTACCTGGTGGTAGGTATGACCTCCTACCTGGGAACCCGGCTGGCGGCTGGGCTGTCAGTTGGGACTGTTATCAAGAGAGACTGTGTTGGCCCACACTCAGCCTCACATTTCCTGGGGATAGACAGGGGCCAATACCACCCTTTCTCTCTTTTAGTACCACCACCCCAAAATAAAAGAAAAAAATCATGAAGGAAATACTTTTCTTTTAACTTAAGCACTCACAGAAACTGCTATTGAGGGTTTTGGTTTGGTTTGGTTTTTTGGTACTGGGAATCAAACTCAGGATGTTGCACTTGCCAGGCAGGTGCTGTGCCACTGAGCCAAATCCTTGGCCTTGCTAATGAGGTTTTGATGTATTTTCTTTCAGACTGTTTGTTATTTACTATAAATGCAGGTGAGACCATGCTATGGTACAAATGGATGTGTGGCCCTGCTCCCTCACTGTCACATCATAGACATGTCTGCATCAGGCCCTCATTGGCCTAATGACATGTGGGTGCCCTTTTGCCCTTCCCCACTGAGGGAGGAATTCCTGAGACTTTGAAGAACTTGAAGTTTCTGTTCCTGTCCCAAATGCTGAGAGTGCCTAGGTTGAGGGGCACACATTGTGGCTCCTGAGGAACTGCTACCATTCAGCCTTCCTGCCTTTGGACACCCCATAGGTGTGTGTGGGGTGTGTGTGTGTGTGTGTGTGTGTGTGTGTGTGTGTGTGTTCAGAGATTGAACACAGAACCTTGCACATGCTAGGCAAACACTCTGCCAGTGCATTATGCTTCCCCCACGCCCACTGAACTTGAGCATAGCAGGGAAGAATATAGGCCACTAGTGTGGCCTGTAGTCCCGCAGTAAGACTAGAGTCAGGGGTCTCTTCAGGCCTGTTTCTTAGGCCAACCAAACCCAGAGCCTGTGGCTGGTATCTACTACACTGATAGTAGTATCAGTATACTGAGTTTCAGATGCCTGTGCAATTTGAAGAAAATGTCAGTAACACTGCTCTTAGGATTAGTAACCTTCTAGAAAGTGGAGAAAAGATGCTAGGAATTACAAGTACCATATCTTTCCAGAGACAAGATGTGTAAGTTGACAGGTCAGGTGCCAGCCTGACTTTGTGACCTGGCATGAGTGCTTTTTTTTTTTTTGGCAGAACTGGGGATTGAACTCAAGTCTGTGTACTTGCTAGGGAAATGCTTATTCTACTGAGCCATCTCCCCGGCCCCAGTGAGTGCTTCTTGACATACTTGCTGCTGCTGCTGCTGCTGCTGCTGCTGCTGCTATTTCCATCTTGTACTTGGTCATCAGTCTTGGTCCCCTGAGTGCCACACCTCCCATCCTGCTGTTGGCAAATATTGGCCACCTGAGAAATATGGTTCTGATGGCGTTACCCTTTTGAAGTGTACATTCTCAGTGGCTTGATCTGGGCCCAAGGTGCTTCTTGGAGTACCCTCTCTCTATTTGGAGGCTATCAGTTTCTATAGGAATAATGGTAGGTGGTGACCTTCATGGAGTCCTACAGAGAGCGCAGCCCCAGGGCGAAGTGGAGGCAAGCGCTCAGGGCCTTGCTCTGAAAGAGCTCACAGCTTAATGTAGGAGACAGACAGGGAGACAGCTCACCCCCCTGTAATGTGAATACCAGGATGCTCTTGGCCTCACTCTTTGTGGCCCCTCCCCAGTTCCCAGACCATACTTCTGCCACCTGCATCAGTCTGGGCTTGCTCAGCTCAGCAGGGCCAACTGTCTGTGTGCCACAATCTGTGGACCCTCCCCCTGTAATGTGTCATCATTGGCCTGTGTCTGCAGCCTGCAGCAGTGCCTCTGCCAGGCATTACCCAGATGCACAGGAATCTGCGAGCAGTCCAGGGGCCTCCTGAGGCAGCTTTGTGCTGTGTCAGCGTTGGAATTCCTGCTGACCAAGTGTTGATCTGGACAGAACAGCTCCTGGCAGCAGGGGATGGGTTGAACAAAGCCAAGATGCTTCCAGACAGCCAGAGCAGATCCAGACAGCAGGAGTACTCCGTGGGGGGAGGGGGGTGCTTTTTTTTTAATGAGTCCATCAGCCAAGACAAACAGAACCTAATCTCCTGGCGTCAGCTCACAGTTTTCAAAAATAGGTTGCTTCCCATGACGTTTTCTTTCCCTCTGTTTTGTTCCAACTCTGAGCCTCCCAGGCTGCACTGCTGTCGTATAAATCAAACAGAAAGAGATCGACTTGGGGCCCGTGGGAGGCTGTCCTTTCAGCTTGGGAGATGCAGGAATGGGCAGCACTGTGTGAACAGACTTAGCTGTCCTGGCTGGTGGCCACATGCCTGGTGTACTCCCTCCTGTCCTTCCCCAGCAATCAGAAGACAGCAGCCCAGGGGTCCCCAGGGTGGGTACTACACAGAGCAGTGAGCCTTCTGCATGGGAAAATGCTTCAGTCTGCTTGGAAAGAGCTGGGATCATAATCTGTCCCCGGAACCCCTCAGTCAAGCTGGAAGACAGCCAGAGTGCTCAGGGAAGAAGCAGTCCAGAGCTGAGTGCTGGCCAGGACAGTGGAAATAAACACATTTGTCACCAACCCAAATGTCTCCACCAACAGCAGCTGCTCCTGATTCAAGTGTAAAGTACTGGCTCGGAGGTAGAGGGAGCGCGAAGAGAGGTAACTGTAGGAGGCAGCCCCAGGATGCACCAGAGTAGTTGATCATAACTGTTGACAAGTTATGTACCAGTTATTCCCTGCACATGGCAAAGCTCTGTCAGGTGGATCTTCTCACATTCTGGCAGGAGCAGCAGGGATGCTTGTGAGCAATTTGCCTGTGGACTTGGGGCAGCAGATGGCTGGTATGTGAGTAGAGGCTGAGGCCACTCTGGTACCCTGTGATGTCTGCTTAGCTAGAGCACCTGTGGAAAAGGGCAGGATTTGGGGACTAGCCATGCCTCCTAGGGCAAGTGTCAAACCCTTCACTTACTGACTTGGGACTGACCTGGGCAGCTAGTTTACCCCCACTTGTGCTCAGGTTTCCTCTCCTGCATCAGGCCTAGTGTCTGCCTGGTTTATCTCATATCCTCAGTGGCAGGCTCTTCTCACAGTCCATGAAAGCACTTCTGTTTTCAGGCAGGCATCTAGTTAATACTAGCAATACCAGAGAGGGTAGAGACAACACCGTTTAGGAATCACTGAGTGCACATCTCGGCTCTTCCACTGAGGAGCTAGATGATATTAGGCAAGTCACAGGCCCTCTTGAAGCCTATTTCTTTTCCTTTGGCAGCCTGGAGTGATTGCTTTCACCTGAAAAGCACCTAGCATAGGGCTGGGTGCAGGCAAGACCTCCGCAAATTGTAGCCTGTGAACTATAACCGTTGCTGTTGTTGGAAAGCTCTTCAGTACACCGAGCTCAAATCTGTCTTGCTGTAACTTTGACCTTGGTCTGTGTTAGGTAACTGAAAGAACAAAACTAATTCCTCTTTTACAGGGTTAGATGCTTAAGTATTCACAGATTTCCATAAGCCTTGCCTACTGCCCAATCTACGTGGAACAGGTGCAGCTGTTGGCAGCTCATCTCATAGAACAGCTCTTCTCATGAGGCAGACATTGTCAGGTGGGGAGTTTCCATCATCCAAAAACCCTGGCCCTTCTCTTTCTTGTATAGCTGTTTTTAGGCTGCACCTTCTGAATCCTGTGCATGGACATTTGAGTCCAGGACCGTGATGCAAAACTGTGCCTGTCCCTACTAAAATGCACACCTTTAGCTGCTTTCTGAATCTGAAAAGGCCTTGATTCCTTTATCCACTGCTCCTTCCTGATTGAGGCTTTTTACTTTTGTCTTCAGTTAATAACAATTTTTAATTAATCAGTTACTTCTCCAGAATGGACACTCTTATATGTCACCCATCAGGCAATAAAAGAAACCATCTCCCTGTTCTATCAAGTACCAGATGGTATAAATCACTTCCCTTCTTGCATCGTGTTGTAACAAAGACAGAATGACGAAGGCCATTTTCTCTGGAGAAATCTAGTGTATTATACACATTTAGTTTCCCCTTTTCCTTCAAAAGATTTTCTTCTCCCTCCTGTCTCTTCCACATTATAACAGAGCTTCAAGACCTTATTCCATGCTCCCTGGAACTTGGAGAAGGTTCAGAGGAACCGCAAAAATGATTAAAAGACTATTTTGTGAGATGGTCCTGAGACGATCCTCTAAAGAAAAGACAAAGACTTTGGGATTAACTAGACAGACAAGAGAGGTTATTTCATGACGTGTTCTGGTAGATGAAAGCTTTTGCACAGGTGACTGGCTGTCCTGCCCCTCTTTTGAGAACCAGAAATGGGTGGGAACCAAAGCTGAAATCTTTTGCATGAGGGAACTCCTATCCTTGCTTTTGCACAGTGGAAGGGGTGACCTAGCCACAGTGCTGGCAGTCAGATGCCTTAGGCCCAGAAGAGTCACTTGGCCTGCATTGTTTGGAGGTGGAAGGAGAGGAGGAAAGTCTCCAGCTGGACCTGTGTGGAGCTGGCTGAGGATGGTACTAGGAAGGCCATGAGGTGGGCAGGTGGCATGATAATACAGAAGTCTTTTTTTTTTTTTCCTTTTTTTGGTACCAGGACTCTACTCAGGACCTTGCACTTGTCAGGCAGGCACTATGCTGCTGAGCTCTATGCCTGGCCCCAGAAATCTTAACATTCTGGTCCATGTCTTTCCTTTTTCAAAAAAGTGATTTAAAATGTTGAGTCTGGGCGCCAGGGAGATAGCTCAGTAGAATAAGCGCTTGCCTGGTAAGCGCAAGGGCCTGAGTTTAATCCCCGGTTCAAAAAAAAAAAAAATGTTGAGTCTGGCATGGTGGCACATCCCTGTAATCCCAGTACTCATGAGATTGTTATGAGTTCAAGGCCAGCCTGGGCTTCATAGTGAGTTCAAAGGCATACTGAACTATGTAGGGAGACCCTGTTTCAAAAATACAAAAGCGAAACAAACAAAAAAATATTGAATCCAGGAAATGAAAAACCTTTCTCTTTGCAAAGATCCCTGATTCAGAATGCCTAGGAGGGACTCTCGAGCCTGTCTCTAGGCAGAATGCCTAGGGAAGCCACTGGGGTGACCCTCCAGCCTGCAAGACTGTCCGACAGGGAGAGAACTTCCCAGCCACCACCTCAGCAGGAAGGCAGTGAGAGGAAAGGCAGAAAATGCAAGGCCAAAGGAGATATTTCTTTTGCAGAGTCTATGAGACCACTATATGGACTCTGCCTTTGAGTCTTGTTCTTCCTCCAAACTGAGGACTTAATGTTCAAGCCTCAAAAATCCTCTAGTACTTTCCAAACAATATTTGAAAGTCATAGAATCTTTTCTTCCACAAGTATAATTCTACAGAGAATGGCAGTATTTATTTTTAAAAAATGAAAGCAGAGCTGCTCTGACTGCCATGGGGCAAGATATCATGGAGGTCTCTGGGGCACCTCCACAGCATTCTACAGAATTCCCTGTGTACCAGCCCCCTCATTTTTCTCACAGAGGAGAGTCCTGGTGATGTGGAGAGCATATCCATTCACTGGCAGCTTGCTGCCTGCTGCTTGGCCCCTGGCACCCAGCTGGGGCAGGGACTCAGTGGGAGAAACAGAGATAAATCCCTGCCCTCTTTTGCTGGTAGTCCTGGTTACTGGAATATTGGTAGCCATATTTTTGATACACACTTGGCAGTGCTCTGAGGTATCTGGTTTGGGTCTCTAAATCAGTGAGCCACCTCAGGATTGCTCTCGTCCTGAGGCTGTTGCTATGTGGGGTGGCTGGGTTTAGCAATCACCTAGAGGCTTTGCTGGAGGAGTTCTGATGACATTTTGGGGTGGAAGATCCAGTGGAATATGTCTGATATTAACAAAACAAAAAAAATATGTCTGATATGCTGAGGGATTCTTAAGGAGGAAGGGGCAGCTACAGGTCCCTAGAAAACATTCCAGGGCTGGGGAGATAGCTCAGTGGTCTGAGTGCTGCCTGACAAGCACAGGACCCAGGCTTGATCCCTGGTACCACATGCTGTGCCATCCCCATGCCAAGCCAGCCACCAAAACTGGGCGTGGTGATACATACCTGTAATCCCAGTGCTGGGGAAACTGACATAAGGAGGATCACTACAAGTCAGAGCTGTGTAGCAAGACCCTATACCAATTAAATAAATAATTTTTAAAAAAATTAAAAGAAAACTTTACAAATGGACAAAAAGATGGGCAGTATATGTATTGCCAAAGTGAGCACTGAGAGGATGGATAAATAGGCAACATATGGTCAGTCTGACACTGAAATATATTAATGGTAGAAAATGGAAGATGGTACATTTATTTTACTATATGTTTAACATTTTCATGATGAGAAACTGAGACAGGTAAATAGCTTGAGGTCTTGAAGGATGGATAGGAGCTTCTATAATGGAAAAGAAAGGACATTGCATGCAGAGAGCTGGCTTCATAGGGCCCCAGAGTAGTGGGTGTCCTTAAGGCCCCTTGTGTCCTTGACAGACTGAGGTGTGCCTGGACAGTCTGTGGGCTCCAGATAGTGGTACCCCAGGCTTCTGGAGGAGCTTAAAGCTGTCTACCCTGACATGGCCCCACACTTCCCTAACTTGTAGGTCTTGTACATTGGCCTGCAGTTTTGATGGAAATTGAATGATCTTTTTCTTTCTCTTTCTCAACCAAGTGTATCCAGAACTTGCTGCTTGGTTGCAAGTGCTGGACAGGGGCCAAACTTTCCCATCTTGAGCCTTTGTGGTAGGATCTGCCTTTGCTGAAAGTAGTGTGCCCTGATGATGCTGCCTTCTCCAAAATCCAGAGTGAGAGTCTGAGGAGAACCAAGACTGGGAATCTATTTAGAGAAAAATCTGGAAGGTTTTTCTGGCTTTCTCAGTGACCAAGGGAGACTTGCAGCACTATTCTGGCTGTGGAGAATTAGAACCGAGATGAAGGGTAGTGGTGCCATAGTGGGGACCAGCAAGGTGACCAGAGCCAGTATCAAGGAGTCTCTAACAAAGCTTTTTGTCAATGTGACAAAAAGACCAGACTTGTGAATACCCATTTTCCTAAATTCAAGTCCCTTCTGCACAATAAGTACAGTTGTACTCAAGTGACTCTGGGTTGATCCATCTGGGTCAGGCCTCCTTCTTGGCTGCCTTAGCTCTGGAAGAATGAACCCCAGATCTGAGCATCATAGGAGAAGGGGCAGCAGCAGAAGCCAGTTAAGGTTCCCTATCACGCTTCTATTTGCAGAGATAGGCCCAGGACACACAGGCTCAAGAGAGTGAGGTTGGAAAGTCTCCCTGAGACTCTGGAACTGAGTGTGAGAGAAGTAGCACCTGCCTTCATCATTAATTCTCTCAGGAATACTTGGAGAGTGGCCCTGTGAGTTAGTCATCATGCTGGGAACATGGGAAAAGACATCTCAAGCCAAGGATTAGAGAAGAAGGCAGATTTAGAGCCCAGCCATAATAATCCTGGGAATGAGTGCTATATGTCCTGGCAGGGAATTTGCAGAAGGAGCATCTTCCACTCCCTTCTTTGCTTGTCTGACCACCACAGTGGCTCAACTCACTAGTGTGTGTCTCAGGTGTCTCAGGGTACCCGTGGGGGGTAAAGGACAGCACCCGTCAAGGAGGTTACAATCTGGCAAGAGAGACTGTCCAAGAGAATGAGATCATGAGGCAAAATGCAGAGCCGTGCAGAGATGTTACTGGCTCATTCGCTCTCTCCAGTGTCTAGGTAGATGGGGACAGCATCTCACCTCTGTCTTAACCTTGGTGACCCATTAGGATTTATGGTTGTGTTTTATAGGCAACTCCCGACTTTAGAGGCTGAGGGGCCAAGCTGGTAGGCCTGCCATATCGCTGTAGCATTCTTAGTCTGATATATAAGAAGGCAAGGAGCCTGGAAGATTATTTGAGGAAGCTTCACAAATAAGTTTAAACAAGAGTATCAATAAGGATTTATTCCAGGGCAAGGCAAACTCATGGAATCCAGGCCATAAAGCATAAGGCTCTGTTCTCAAAGGACATTGCTTCCAAGGATCAAGAGGGGCCTATGCTAACTAGTGGTGTGCAAGTGTTATCTTGCCAGCAAAAAGCTCTGAGGAAGTTTGCAGAGCTTCTGAGACCTTGGCAAGGAGACAGACGCACCAGCACAACATCCCTAATGCAGTCATAAAATACACTCATGCTGTTGTTGGCAATATAAGTAAAGTGATAGCATATTTTTGGAGGGCCTTTAGCAATCAGTATCCTAAATGGCCACACATACTGCCACCTATAAATTCCCCCTCTGAGGAGCTCATGCTGTGCAAGCACTTGCCCAAGGGTGTAAGAATCATATATACAAAGTTCACTACTGCATTATTTGGGTCCCCCCAAAAAAGACCATGAGCCATGAGCCCCACAACACCAAAATGGTAAGATGCATTATGACACACACAGAGGAACAAGGCAGTTTGTACAAAGTAATAAGGAAAGGGGCCTGAAATATTTTGTTAAGGAGAAAAAGCAAGCTGCAAAGAATCCTATTTCTATATTTAAAAGTGTTTGCACAAACACATGCTTATCTATGCACAATAGCATGTACATGTGGACATTTGAAAAAGTACTGTGTTCTCTGGGGGGGAAGAGGGAGGCAGCAAGGAGGGAACTTTTAGTCTTTATTCTGTACACGTCTGGTTTTACGAAGAAGATGTACTCCTGTGACTTTTAAGAATCAGTACAAATCTTTTCAAAGACACTAGAATGTCACAAAAAGCATTTCCAGCAAGCTATGCAGAGGTGCATGTTTCCCTAGGAGCTAAACAGGACCTGTCGAGCCATGCAGCACCGTATTGTGGAACTCATCTCCCGTGTGTCCAATGAGGAGGTCACCGAGGAGCTGTTGCACGTCAATGACGACCTCAACAATGTCTTCCTCCGCTATGAGAGGTAGGAGTGAGCCCTTGAAAGGATTGTTGCCATAACAGAGGGATTTCTTTCATAAACAAGGAGAGACAGAAAGGGAGAGAGAGATTAGAGTAAGAAAATACTCATCAGGAATGCTAATTTCTTCCCAGATGACATAGAAAATGCTCTTGTTCTCCTGGGAACAGAGCAGCAGGAATTTGACGTGCAGAATTGGGTTCTGCCCTTTGTAAGCCTTTGGCTGCTCTGCCTCTCCCCTAGGTCCCCAGCCCCAGAGAAGGCTGGCTGGGGGGAGGTGTCTGGGCCCAGCGCTGCTGCACCTGCTCCTTTGATGATCCTTTGAATTTGAAAAGGATTAAAGGGAAAGAAAACCTCTAGTAAGAAAAAAGATTTCCTCTTTCTCATCTGGAAAAAAGTGAGAATTTTCCCTTTGTAAGTGTCATTGTGTCTTGAGTGATCAGGAGAAACAGGCAGGGTGTAAGTACCCAAATGCTGCTGCTGCTGCTACTGCTCCTGCTGCTTAGGAAAACACATTCCTTTCCAGTCTTTCTGCACCCAAATCATTTTTAATCTTAAAGTAACAAACTTGCAAATAATTTTCTTTTCCAAAGACTTCCCTGGGATAGATCAAAATTGTGTGATTTGGATGGGACTGTCCTTTGGGCTTTTCTGAATAGCTTAGTGTCAGGACCAGAGAGGACCTTGACCAGGCCAACCATCTCACATTTATAATGAGGCCTAAGAGGATAGGACAGAGGCCTTTGTCCTCTCGAGTCTTGGAGTCCATCTAGCTGACTCACAGCTTCTTGGATGAATTGGTCAAAAGGACATGTCCTAGCATCAGCTAGGACCACAACTGCCATGTTTACATTTCTCTGTAGGGGCCCAGTGGATGGTATTATGGGGGTTGTCACACCATAGGGTTGTCTCAGCTTCTGCCTGTGGCAGTAGGGATTTGTGGCCCTTTGCCCATCTAACCAATGAAGTTGCCTCTGCAGTAGGACTGTGGGACCATCAGCACTCTGCAGTATGTTGGCCAGAGAATAAAAACAGTTCCCAGGAGCCTTAACTCCCAGCCTGAGGCCCCCCATGTCTTGCCATGTAGCTTCAGTTTTCCATGTTATGGGCTCAGTTTTGACCTATTAGACCTAGTTAAGCCCTTGATATAATAAAATGACAAGAGCTAGTATGGGCATTGTCACTCACAAGTTCACCTGTTCTGTCCTTACAAAGAACTCAGAGGCACGCCCTAGGGCAAGCAGCCCTTTAGTGCAGTTGTAGTTAACAGTACCTTGGTAAGACTAGTGGTCCCTCAAAGAAAACATGAAAAACATGAATACCTTTGGATTCAGTGTTTCAGATGTGTTACTATCCCTGCCCTCTAGAGAGTCCCCTGTTGAAAAATACCAGACAAGTCAAAACTATAATAGACCCACACTGCCTAGTCAGATCAGTCCTTCTGGGGGTCCTTTGCCACCAGCTGCTGGTGAGCAGCAAACCATGCCAGTCTCTGGCCAGAGAAGTCTTCTGGATAGCTCTTGGTCCATGGCATTTGACCCATGGCATTTGGAACTTTTTTTTTTTTTTTTTTTGGTGGAACCGAGGATTGAACTCAGGCCGGTTCTACTGGGCCATCTCCCTGGCCCCATGGAGCTTTTAAATACAGTGAAAAACTGTCTTTGTTGACCCCTGTAGACCTCACAACTGTTCATATATTCCCTGCCAATGTAAGAATGACACGTGTGGGAGAGGGGATACTGCCCACAGTCAAGCCTCGTCTGCAGCTATCTGCTGATGGGGCACAGAGGAGACTGGCACAGCAGAGCCACCTTTCCCACCTTCCTGGCACCCACCAAGTGGTTGGCCCAAATCTCTCCACGACTCCTGGCCAGCCTTTTCTCCAGTCATGGCCAGGGTCTGTGCCTGTCCTTTCTGTGCTGCCCCATATATGCCTCACCCCCTTTTGTCCAGAGATGGAATTGGGGGCTGTCCAGCAAAAGTAAAGAGGGCTGTGTGGTTAGTCACTGGCTTTGATAGACTTGTAGTATGCCTCCAGGTCAGGTAGTTGACTCAGCTTCCTCTGAGGAGGGCAGAGCAGCGCTTGGGCCCATCTGAGGAAATGATTAGAATGCTTTTGGTGGCCTCCTCAGGGTGGCAGCCAACACTTCCTCCCTAAGACCAACCAGTATACCTGTAGAAGAGACTGGGAGGCTGGGCCTTCTGAAGGTAGAAGCCTGGCATGGAAGAAGGCATAACACAGTTGTACATGCGGGATCTACTCTCTCACACCCCACATGGGACTGGCTGGTCTCCTTTCTAAGAGATCTACTTCTGCTGGGTCCCCAGAGTTCTCCATGAGTCTAAATGCAGCAGCTCCTATGCCACTTATTTCTCTGCTTTCCTTCCATGTTAGGTTCGAGCGATACAGGTCGGGCCGATCGGTTCAGAATGCCAGCAATGGAGTAAGTGAAAACCCCTATTCTGAGGAGGGCATCCCCACACACATTGGAGACTTGCCCTTGTTGGCCTCCCTTCTAGTTTTTCTAAACAGGGCTAAAATATTTGGATAACTGTAGGGTACACTCTGGTTAAAGGAAACCTGAAGAAAGCTGGCTGGCACTCAGGAGGGTGGCACAAAACCTACATCTTCAGCTCCCAGAACATCACTGTCTTGTGACTCAGGGCCACCTTCTTTTATGTGGCAAGGGAGAAGAGGCCAGCAGGCAGCTCAGTGGCAGCCTGGGCCCACCATGGACTTTGAAGGCGAAACCACCTTGCATCTGTGTGGGGCCATGTTGATGCCTTTTCTTAACAAAATCCTACACAGTGCCAACTATGTTTACCTCAGAACTATCCAAAGGCTCAGCCCTCACCCGTCTCTTGTCCCACAGGTACTCAATGAAGTGACTGAAGACAACTTAATAGACCTGGGCCCTGGCTCTCCTGCCGTGGTGAGCCCAATGGTGGGAAGCACGGCACCCCCATCTTCCCTTTCCTCCCAGCTGGCAGGCCTGGGTGAGTGTTTCCCTTCTTTGTAAAAGGGCTCTCTGCTTTGTAAAGGGGCTCCCTGCTGTGGGCCTCCTTGTGGCCTCACCTCTGTTGAAGGGCTGAGAGTATTTTGGGAAATCCTTGTTAATATTTCTTTCTGAGTCTTAGCCAATTGTACAATTTTTTTTTTTCAGTACCAGGGATTGAACCTGGGAGCTTGCCCTTTGAGGCAAGTGCTTATGTCTCTGAGCTATCTCCCTAGCCCCCCAGTTATGCAACTTTCAATTTGTAATTTCTTTCCTGAAATTTGAAATTTAAACCTGAGTTAGAAAGCAGAGATGGGGGTGAGGAGATGGCTCAGTAGAATAAGCGCTTGCCTGGCAAGAGCAAGGGCCTGAGTTCAATCCCTAGTTCCACAAAAATACTAAAAAATAAAAAAAGAAAGCAGAGGTGGGGGAAGTTCGAAGTTTCAGTATTAACTAAGCCAAGAATGGCAAATAAATTTTAGTTTATTGGTTGCTTGAGAGTCAGTTTTGATGCTAAAGCCAAATCAGGACCTAAAAGATAAACGTGTTAGATTGGAGATGCCTGAAGTGGACTAAGAAGTAGGAAGAGATGGCACTGACAGACATATTTACCTTCCTCAGACTATTCCATTAACTGTAAACTATTCTACTGTGAAACTTACAAGAAACTTCCCACCTTTCCACAATAAGAATGTGCATATGACCTAAGATTCTTCACTAATATTGGATAATATCCAACTTATAACAAATAAAATGATAATATTCATATAAACAAACATGGCCCTCAAGATTCTGTCCTCTATCTTGCTTTTCTGTTTCCTTTTTTTTTTTCTTTTTCTTTTTTTTGGCGGAACCGGAGATTGAACTCAGGCTCTTGCGCTTGCCAGGGAAGCACTTATTCTATTGAGCCATCTCCCCGGCCCCTCCTTTTTTCTTAATATTTATCTTTCTTCCTTCACTTCACTTTAATTAAATTAAGATTTTATTTAAGCTGGGCATGGTGGCACACAGCTCTAACCCCAGCACTGTGGAAGACAAAGGTAAGAGGACTGTAGGCTCAAGCCTGGGACAGACACATTAGCAACTTAGTGAGACCCTGTCGCAAAATAAAAGATAAAAAAGAACCAGGCATATAGGTCAGTGTGAGGCCCTGGGTTCAGCCTCAGTACAAAAAAGAAAAGAAAAGAAAAAAAAAATTTTAAAGAAAGAATTTTTTAAAAGCAAAACAACTTTTATTTGATGACCTGTTGCTAGAATTCATCATCTTAATCGTAAGCACTATTTCCTTATCAGAACAGACCTCTCTGCCTGCTTTCCTTCCAGGTTATAGCCACTAGATTTCATGCCTTAAATTCAAAGTGCTATCTCCTTTCTTAAAGAACATCCAATGTTTGCCCATCAACTCCTTTACCTGGCATTTAACCCTGGCCACTGGCTATCTCCCATGTGCCTTTCCAGCCTCCTCCTCCACTCATCTCTCCCTTGAGCAGTGGCACTTAACACAGCCTGGCCTCCCAGGCCCTGTGCCTTTGTCCTTGTCTTCGCCTTGTTCCCAAGCATAACCCCACTTATTGTAAAAGGCACATCTGTGTGTCAGTTTTGAGTCTCCCCTAATTCCTACCACCAAGTACAGCAGTTTCTTGCCTCTGTACCACCTCCCTGATGCTGTTCTTAAGGCCAAGGACCATGTCAGATTCCTCTGGGTCCACTGGAGGTCTGGCTCTGAACTTGGCAGGTGCCTATGAAGTAAGTGCCAAATAAATAAGCAACACAGATCTTTGGCTATGCTGTCTGAGGGCCCCGGAGAATGGTGCTGTGGGAAGAGAATGTGCTCCAGCCCCTCGCTGCCTTCTCCACTGCCAGCAGTCTCCATTTTGCTCAAGATACCCTCTCTTCCCCTGTGGCAGTTGGGAGACAATACTTTCCCATCTTCCACAGGCCTGCCCTTGCTGTCCTAGGAATCTTGAGGATGATCTTGTCCTCCTCACAGGCCCTTAACCTACTGCACTTGTGTCCTGTCTTTGGGGCCCCATCAAGTCCAATCTACATTTTGTTCTCACCTGCCACTTGCTTGTTTTGTTGTCACAGACTTGGGGACTGAGAGTGTCAGCGGCACCCTCAGTTCACTCCAGCAGTGCAATCCTCGTGATGGCTTTGACATGTTTGCCCAGACCAGAGGGAACTCCTTAGCTGAGCAGCGCAAGACGTATGTGGGGCCCCTCCAGTGGCTGTCTAAAGATATTGGAGGGGGGTGTTAGGGGAAGTTGGCTCAGCCTCCGTCACAGTCCAGCACAAAGAAGCCTTTTGTTATTTATCAGATCCAGGGCTGCCAGGAACTTTAAAATATGGCTATGAGGACTTGGCATTGGCTACAGATGTTAAATGAATGCCAGCCCTTCTCCCACTCTTCCCTGCCCTTGGGATTGATCATGATGTCAGTTCTCCTGTCAGTTACAGGGGTCCACTCTTTTTTTCTCTCCTGCCTATGTTACAGCTGCAGATACAACCTTACCCAGCCCCTCATCTGCAGGAGGAGCTCAATTACAGGAGGGTGCAGCCAGGCAGGGACCCAAACGTGTGCCTAACAGCAATATTTAACTGCCGAAAAAATGTGGAGAGAGCAGAGACTTTTCCAGTAGCCACTCTGGCAAAGATGAGCCATATGGAATTGGAGGAGTTGATTCCAAAACAGACAATCCCTTGCATCTCAGAAAGGCACAGAGCATGCTTTGAGCTTTCTGTTCAGCCCAAAGGTGATTACTGCTTATAAAATTAATTTTACTGTGCTTTTATCTTGCCCCTCCTTCTGAGGAGCTCCAGGGTACATTTGATATCATACCACTGAGTGCCAGAGAGGTCCCAGTGCTGTGACCCAAAAGAAGGACTGTAAAAACCACAAGCCCCAAGTCCCAGAGTTCAGTGGGGAGCTTACCCTCGAACCTAGGTCTTCTTGTTTCAGCTTTAGGGATATAGCATGAGCCCTCAGCCTCTGCGCAGGGCCAAGGTCACGCCTGAGAAAGGTGCCATGGGATAGGAAGTGATTAGTCACACCACTGCCCGCCCATGACCCCTGGAGGCCACTCGTTTTACTTGTGCTCATTTGTCTCTAGGGTCACCTATGAGGACCCCCAGGCTGTTGGAGGACTCGCTTCTGCACTAGATAGTCGGAAACAAAGCTCAGAAGTGGTAAGTCTTCTATCCTGTATGGCCCAGTCTTCTGCAGGGAAAGTCAGGCCGTTTGGTAAAGTGGACTGGGTAGTTCAGCAAAAGCTAAAGTGTGTACACAGCAGGGACCGGATGGGGAAGATGCATGGAGCACCTAAATGCCACCACCAAGCAGTCCCCTCGGCCCTGTAAGGTGATAATACTGTGATACTCAAGAGAAATGGGCCCAGGAGGTGGAAAATGGGCCAATGGACGTGCAGAGAGCAGGCAGCATGTGGGTATCCTGTCCTGAGAGTTTCTGGCTCCATAGCCCCTGATCTTCCTTCTGCAGTTATGGGAAGCTCTTAGGTCTCCTATGGCCAAGTAGGGCCTCTCCACATTTTACATTCCCCAGTGGCTGAGTAGTGCACTGACAGCATAATGCTGTCACAGGGAAGGCGAGTACCAATGTGAACCAATGCTCTGAATTGACAGCTGGCCTAGCCAAGTAGTGCTGCCCCAGTGGACAGCAGCTGAGGATCAGGATTTCTTTGGAAAGCTGGAGCAGTGAGGGGGTGACTGGGAGGGTATCCTAGAAAGTTCCCAGTTTGGAAGAAGTAAAGCCGGGGAGAAGACACCTTGAAGTTGAAGGTGGTACATGCATGGTCCCTAAATGCAACTGTGGTTTCTATAAGATTTCAGATCATGCACCGGCCCGCCCCCAGGTGTTCTGAGCCAGCCACTGAGACTGGGCATGGTGGTGGTGCACACCTGTAATCCCAGCTCTGGGGAGGCTGAAAACAGGAAGATCACTATGAGTCTGAGCTATGTAGTGAGACCCTATACCAAATACATTAAAAAAA